CTTTTTACTTTTTTCTTAAGCTCATCAGACGAAAAGCGTCTATGCCGCAGATTGCGCAAAGGTCCACCCCTAAACATGCGCAATAGTCGTGCATTTCTTAGGAATTTCTTCAGTCTTGTTGTGTATAAGTAATGACGAACGATGCTGCTGATGCAAATGAACAATTCCGCCTAAACATAGATTTCATACTCCTATTAAAGAACAACAAATTTGCATTTGTTTGAAGTCAGGCGCTTTGCAAAAAACGATGGTTGTTTTCGATACATTGCAGTAAGTGAAGAGAGACGACGAAGAAGTCTTCTACAAAGCATTTTGAAACATCAATGGATAAAAATAATCGGAACAATCATATGTACCATGGGGTTGTTCTAAGAAAGTGTGGGAAATTTGTGAAACATATTGAAACACTCGCCCAAGATTTTGGTGACAGGGTTGTCACCAGAACTGTGCGTTTCTCAAAATTTTTCCTTTTACTAGTTTCTCAGGACTGTGCAGTTTTTTCTTCGGAGAACATTCGAGTGAAACGGGGCAAACAGGAAATTCTGGTTGAGAACTCAATTTTGAAGAAATACGGAAATGAAATCTTTGGTGTGTCCTTTGCAATCTTTTGTTGGACATTGAAAACTGAAAGTTGTGCAGCTGTCAACATCAAAGAGCATAGAATTTTATAACAAACAAGTAGAAAATGTTGAAAGATAGGGGACCTAAAAACCGATGCGATTTTTAAGATTTCACTCACCCAAATCAGAAGTGAATGTTGCACCGTTCTGTACAAAAGTACTTCTCAAGATCATGTGTATGACTTGCTAACATTTTTTTCGCAAGTAATGAAAAAGGAAACCAGACCCAAATCACTTTTGGAAGATCTTATTAGGTAGAGAGCATGCAAACGAAAAGGAACGGGAAGCGGCAGAGAAGAAGCACAACCAACGATTTAGCTCTGATGGGCTATCTAATATACTCAACAAAATCAGCATTATCTTAAAAAATCTGCTCAAATCCGAGGGAAAAATTTAGCTGATAATTGCTTAACTTTCATAAACTCTATTACCGCACCTCTATTTTCTTTTTTCAGAACTATTTGAAGTCATTAAACATGTTTATATACTTAAAATCAATCCTAATTTTCATAATTACCAATACGAACAACGTGTGAATTTCTAAAGGTCGCTAATATGTCAAATGTTTTCAAGAGAAGTTTCTATGGCGCAAGATCCGCAATACTCTCTAAATTTTGTGCGATTTATTTTCAAGTACTCCATCTTTTAAGATAAATGTAGCCTATTGCATTAACTAATATTTTTTTGGAAAACTCCTTACACGAAAAAAAAAACTTCGTTTTACCTTTTTGATATTCGCAGAGAAGCCTAATTTTTGGCTTACTACCATGCCAATTCTATTCAATCAAACACAATCTGCACCTTTGTGGTATTTTGCCAATCCCCGAAGTCATGGCAACATGCAAAGCAAAATCGGTATCCGGGCTTGCCCCAACACCGATTCTTTAAGATTTCAAAGACGATGTTCTCCCCCTTCTCTCTCTCCAGTAGTAAAGGTAATCAGACCGCAGCTCTAGTGTCTAGCCTTTGAGCTAAATGACTACCATACCCGTATTTCCTCACAACAGAATAAGCTGGCATAAGTTGTTTCTCTACACGCAAGATCTTCTGCGGTTGCTCTCGTAGTATCTTCAGTTGAGCTCTTCGCAACTCAAGCACCGCACGACATAGAAGAACAAGGTGGAAAATTCTGGAAAATAAATTTTCAAAGAAAGGGGACTGTTTGCCCTTAAATCACTCCTACCTGTCATCACGTATGTGCACTTTTACATCCATTTCGCTTCCAACCTTATGACATCCATGTTGTAAGAACGGGCAAGCTGATATGCCTTCTGGTAGGTTTGCCAGAAATTCTGGACCCGTCATTCCTAAATGTTTGGATTAGTAATAGTACGAAAT